CCTTCATCTCCAGGCAGAGCTGGGTAAAGCTAGAGCTTCTGGCTTTGCTTATATGGAGAAGGGGGAGCAGCTACTGAGGGAGGTCAATTCTGACACCTCAGAGATGTGGCCAGCTTTTTGGAGCAGACTCTCCAGAATGGAGAATGGACTAGCAACTGCTGCAGATGGGCTTGTCTGGCAAGGGAAACTGGAAACTGGGGCTCATGAACATCCCCCAGGGAAGGTGGGCCAGGTGGAATATCCCACTCTTTGTTTCTAAGCTCTTCGAGATAAGGATGACGTCAGGAACTCAGCTCTTCATTAAATGTGGACGGGTGAGCATGGCTTCTAAAGACTCCATGCTCTTGATGCTGGGACTCAGGTGCTGGGGCAAAAGGGCAGGTAGCTTCCAGAGGCTGAGAGAAAGGCCTGTCTCTCCATAGGCCACACTGAGAAGGGGAGGCATGGGGTCTGGGGTTCTACCCTAGGGGTGAGACCCCAGGCCCAATCTCACCCTCACTGGGACCTTGGCCTTCACTGCCCCTCTCCCCCAATGTTTTTCAGGTCTGATGACTACATTCTACATTCCTGTGACTGTCCCTGCCTGCAGCTCAACCTCCAGCCCTGGTCTGGCCTCGAGGCCTAACTCATTTTAAATCCTGCCCCAAGGCTGGTTGAAACCCCATCCTCTGATGCCCAATCTCAGAATGTTCACTATCAGGAGGTAATGATCATAATTACCTGTTAATAATAATTAACAAGTTACATTAATTGATGTTATTCACAACGTTAACTAGCATCTGTACGGCTTCTTGCTATTTACAAAGTGCTTAAACACACACATGGACACGCACATGCAGCACACGCACATACACACACACACACACACACGCCCCTCATTTGGTCTTCTCAGTAGCTGCAAGTCGGCAGGACCAGAGATGTGGGATTTCCATTTCATAGGGGAAGAAAGTGAGGCCCAGGGAGGGAAGAACAACTGCTCCAAATCATGAGCCAAGTGTGAGCTGCTGCTGCTAAGAGGGTCTGAGAGGACAGATACGTTCTCCCTTCCCATTCATTCCTTCATTCATTCCTCCATTCCTTCCTGCATCCATCCAGCATTTATTAAGCACCTATGTGTGCTCCATTGTGTGCCAGACACTTAGCCCTAAACTGGGACATTTTTCCAGAAAGCAAGATTTCCCTCGTGTTCCTGAAAGATGAGTTGGGAGGAGAAGGGGCACAGATCCCACTGGCCTTGGGGAACCTGGGACTCCAGATCAGTAGGTTTTCGTGGATGTCCCTTCTCAGGCCATCCCGGGTGAGTGAGAAGCCTCATTTTTCTCTCATGAATTATTTCTCAAAAAAAAAAAAATTAAGGAGCCTATGTGACTTCGTTCATTCTGCACAGTCGCTGCTCCTGGTGGGATGGCTGTGGCTGGGGGAGGGTGTGGGGGATGGGAGACGCCTACGGTCAGCCACAGAGTCCTTGGCAGGTCTTAGGCCGGGACCACCTGGCTGGTCTCCGTCTTGGACACGGTGGCGGAGGCCTCATCGTCACCCAGTGGGTTCTTGCCGCAGCAGATGGTGGTGAGCATGCAGTTCCGGAACTGAAAGGCAAGAGGCCTGAATTAGGACCGGGGCTGCCCACAGTGCGCTTGGAACTGGCACGTTGGTGAGGTTTGCCCCAACCCTTTCCCGGCTTGTGCCCCTCACAGTTCCACTCAAATCCGGCCTCCTGGAGGGAACTTGCTAAGCAGACACTCCCCACCCGTAGAGATGCCAGGGACCGAGCAATAGGGGGCTGCATCACCCTCAACATTTCATGGTGCCCTCTGCGTGCCAAGGGTGTGCTGCAAATTCTCTCCTGTAATCTGAGAGTTTGGTGTTTTGCCCTTTCTATGGATGAGGAAACCAAGGCCCAGAGAGGGGAACTGACTTGCCCAGCGCCACAAGCTGGAAAATGGCAGAGCTGACTTCAGAGACTGTTTCCCCCCTTCTGGGTTCCTCGGGGAAACCACTTGCTCTTTGTTATGGGACTGCCTTATCCCTTTACCCTTCAGAATAAGATTTTTTAGCTCCTTATTCAGCTTTATGGAGACTGGCCCATCCCATTCTCGGCCTGGGACCTGCTGACGTTGACATCAGGCTTCCAGAACCATCTGGACTGGAGCTTCTGACACCTGAGTGAGGATCCGAAGCACCTGGAGGGCTTGCTGGTGATGCAGGTTCCTGGGCCCACCCTGAGATTCAGCAGGTCTGGGTGGGGTCCAGGAACCTGCATTTCTCACACGCTCCCCATTGACACTGCTGACCCGTGAGCCCCACTGCCAGTAGCCCTGATGGAGCCCCCTCCCCTGCCCTGGCACATAGCTTATCCTTAGCAGGCAGTGCCCGTGGCCTGGGGCACTGGGGCCCTCCCACCCGCAGTAGGCACCTGCTTGTTCATCATGATATAGATGACAGGGTTGTAGATGGCGGCGCTCTTGGCGAAGAATGCTGGGATGGTCATGAAGATGGGACCGAAGTTGGAGCCCTGGTGTGTGAAGATGTAGAATGCCACGCTGGCATAGGGCACCCAGCAGATCAGGAAAGCGATGACCATGATGATGACCATCCGGGTGACCTCCTTCTCCGCCTTCTGTGTGGTGGCCGACTCCTGCTGCTGGGCGGCGGCCTGCAGGGACACGGGACCCGGGTCCAGACCATGGCTCCTCCGAGGAGCAGGAGCTGTAGATGTGTGTTGGGGGCTGGACGCTCAGAGGCCACCCACCCCCAGCCCGTACCTCCTTGACGGTGAAGACAAGCTGCCCATAGCAGAAGAAGATGACAATCATGGGGATGGTGAAGTGGACCACGAACATGTAGATGACAAAGGACTCGTTGTTGACCTCCGGCTTGAGCGTGTAGTAGTCGATTCCACATGAGCACTGCAGGCCCTCAGTGATGTACCTGAGACAGGCAGGTAGGGAGACCTTGCCTGTGAGGGACTTGGGAATGGCCCCGGCCAAGGTGCCTGCCAAGCACTGGCCCTCTCTGGGGCTTCCTGTTCCCTCCCTGGAAAGGGGATCATAAAGGTCTGCGTGGCTGGGTGACAGGATGGACTGCATCCGGTGGGGATGCAGATGCACCTTGTGGAATCAGTGTCGCTTCATTGTTTGGTGGCTGCGGTACCAGATGACATGACCTAGCCTCTCCCTGCGTGCCCTGCCTCAGCATCCGCTGCCTGCTGAGCCTCAGGCTATGCCAGGCAGAGGTTGGTGAGGACGAGGGGAGAGCCCTCAGGCTCTGTATTTGCGGCAGTTTGTACAAACTAGCACCAGGGTGAGAGTATTTTCCAGGCCAAAGACAGACACACAGGGTATCTAAGGGATCTCTGTGCAGCTTCTGGAAACAAGAGGCTCCCAGGGCACATGGTTAGGACGTGGCAATGGTTCTTGATGTTGGTGGCAGTGAAATGGCCTCAGGAAACCCAGAGCAAGGGGTACGAAATGGACCCTAGCCAGTCTGAGGAGAAAAGGGAAGTGAGAGTGGGAATTTTCTGGAGGCAGAGGGACACGAGGCCTCTGGGGACCAGTCACCAGTCCTGATGTCCAAACCACCGTCCCCGCTGTGTCTCATCTCAGCCCCATTTGGAATTGCCTAGAGGCCAAATGGGACCCAGTTCCCAGGGGCCACAATATGGCCACCTGCACTAGGAAGGCGTGGCCTCCCCCACTGCTGAGGCCCAAGGTTAGAGGGGGCTGCTCCCGGGGCACTAGACCAAAGAGGATTGGAATTTGCGCCTGGCTTAGCTGAGGATTAGGGGCACAGCCAAGGTGAAGGCTTGGGATGTCTTGGATTCTCTTTGACTTGGAGCTCAGGAGGTGGGACCAGCCCTTCAGCAGCTTTAGAGTCTGTTCCTCCTTCTGTCCCACACCCTACCCTGGGTGGGCATTTGGGCCAGAAGACATTACAAGGTCAGTGTCTGGAACCAGACAGCACTGTGTTTGAGTCCTGACTGGAGGACCCTACAGAGAGCCCCTGGAGCCCCTTCCCTTCTGCCCAATGCCATTACCTGGACCAGCCGGCGAGGGGAGGTGCGGCGCAGGCCAGGGCCATGACCCAGGTGAAGGCAACGCCCATGATGGCATGGTTCTCCCCGAAGCGGAAGTTGCTCATGGGCTTACACACCACCACATACCGCTCGATGGCCAGGACCACCAAGGACCACAGGGCAATTTCACCTGCAAGGCAGCCAGCAGGCGGTCATCATTGACCCCACTGCCTGTCTAAGGAGGGCGCACTACCCCTAGACAAGGAGAGGGTAGCTAGGAAAGCAACCTGGAGCGAGAGAGGGCCCTGAAGAGCCCTTGAGGAAGGAGAGAGCTTGATACTGGGAGGAGGAGGAAGGGGCAGAGGGACCCCACGCTGAGGGGAGCTGGGCAAAGAAACTCAGTGAATGGGGGAAGTTATTTGTTTAGCGCTCTGGATGCATGAGGGACACGAATCAGATCAGGAGGTCATGACTGGACTGGGAACCCGGTAGGGTGGGGTGTGTGTGTGTGTGTGTGTGTGTGTGTGTGTGTGTTTGAACAGAAGAATGCATCCAAGTGTGAGGCAGAGTTCCTTGTTGGGAAGGAATGCAGAGGTGGCTGAAACCCAGAGGCTTGGTGTTCGGAACATGGCCCAAGGAGCAACACAGATGCGAGCTTCAAACTCAACTCCATCCCTGTGTGACCCCCAGCAGGGCGCTCGACTTCTTTGAGTCTCAGCTCAGTTTCCTTGCTGTGAAATGAGATGAGCGCCTTGCTCCAAATAAGATCAAGGCAGTGTTCAGTGCCAGCCCTGCACAAATTGCCCAGATATCTCCACAAAACGGTGTTTGTTGACTGAATATATGAGGGCTTCAGATAATGCTGACAGGAGAGGAGAAGGGAGAAGTCCTCTCAGCCACCACTGCCAAGCCTGGGACTGTCCCAGACCCAGAGCCCTCCCCGTGTCTTTCCTCTGGGCTGTTGGGAAGTTCTAGATTTCTCTTTTCTGAATTGCTTAACATGGGTCAGTCAGGAAGCTGGAGTTTCAGCCCTACGGGTGTCTCGGGAAGTGGGTGCAGCCCCCTGTTCTACTACTGGGAAAGGTAAGGCCCAGAGACAGGGGAGGAGCTGGGCCTGGAGCTCAGCCTACCAGCCTCCTCTGATGCCCGGGAGCACTCGTGAAGGAAACTGGGCCCACCACCGGGCGGGTTATCCATCTGCCTATGCCCACCTTCCTCATCTTTAAATGGGGCCAATGCGACCTGCCCATAGATTGGAAGGCAGTGGTGGGTGGGAGGCACGAGGTGGTGGTAGTGGCCATTAGGACTGAATGAACAGAGTTTTCTCCCCAGGGAGTCAGGACCGCACGGGGCAGGCTGGGGCACAGTGAGTCCTGCCTCTTCTCTGAAATGCCCCTATGTCACCCTCTCCTCTGGTTTCCTCTGCAGAGCCCTCAGGACTGCCCCCAGACCCTGCCCTCACCCTGGCGCCCGTGCCCACGGGTGGCTCCCAGAACATCCTGGTACCTCTGGCCAACGCTGCCTTTTTCCAAGTAAGTAGAGGCCAGGCCAGCCCCGGGTGGGGCCAGGAGGGGGCTGGGAGCACGCAGGTCACCAACCGCCCCCTTGTCCCGGTGTGACCCCCGCTCTGGGTCTGCCGCAGCACCATGGTTCCTGTATGGGCTTTGCTTTGCTTTCTCTGAGTTTCCACATTCCACATGAGGAAGCCCCACTCTGGCTGCAGGAAGAGGAAGTGGTGAGGGCCAGGCCAAGGGGGACAGCCAGGTGCCAGCAGCTGCCAAAAGGAAGCCAGTGCCCCCAGGGTGTCCTGCCCCGTGCTGCAGCTGGAGGGTGGACACTGCCCATGTTGGGCCCTATCCTGCCCTCCCTTATCCTCAGCTGTGACCCTGGACACACCCCCCACCGCCAAGCCCACTACCCTGTGGTTGGCTTCGGTCTTCCCTGCAGAAGGACCGAAGAACCCCTCAACCATCCCATTTCTCATTGTCCAGATGGGGAAGATGAGGCCCAGGAAGGAAAAGTAGATGATACTGGGTGACACAGCACAGGGCTGGACTTGTGCTTGGCCCTGGACTCCCCATCCAGTGCTCGTCTTTGCAACCAGCTCCACCCTCACCATCTGGGCTGGGGGTGGGGACGCAGCTCCTTTCTGGTCCCCTCCTGGAGGCACGTCTTGGGTGGGAAGCGTTGATGAGTCCTGGAGGCATGCCAGCCACCCCCCTCCCCAGCTCCCTGGAACTCACCATCTGTTGCTTCCAGGGAGGAGCTGAGGCCTGTGAGGGCTGTCACACGTGGGGGCCACGTGCCTGGCATCTGGGATGTGTTGGGAAGCCTCGCAGCAGGAGCTGGAGCCCTGGGAAGGCCAGGGTGGGGCCTGCCCTCAGTCCTCAAGCCCCACCCTGCAAGAGTTGGGGCAAGCACCTCTGGGAGCAGCTAGGGGCCTTGGCGGGTGGGTAGGATGGCTCTGCCCCTGGGCTGTGGGCCTGGGAATGGGGAGGCGAGAACGTGACTTGAGTCCTGCCGATTCTTCCCAGCTGTGTGGCGGGGCAGCCTCAACTCTGACTGTGCTGTAGGGGTGCCTGCCCTCCTGCCCCCTGGCCTGCTCTGAGAACACTGAAGGCTGCCGGTGGGGGGCCTGTTTGCTGAGCGTACACCCTGGGGAGGCCTGGGACAGCTGACTGTGCTATCCTGAGGTAGCTGAGGACTCAGAGGAGGGACCCATCTCCAGCTCAGCATGGCAGGGGACAACACAGGTTTTTGGCCCCGTCAGCAGCCACTTTCTTGAGTTAGCCTCCGGGCTGGGACCCCAAAAAACAGGGAGGTTGACCTGCACTCTCCTCAGGGTGTCACATCTGCCAGCCACAGGGACATAAACAGGAAGCTCTGCCACGCAGCTGGCTGGGGCTTGGCTTCATACACAAAACCTGAGTCTGTTCACTCAACAAATAGTACTGGTGCTGCTCCTGAGAGGGCCAGATGAGCCTGGGGAACCAAGCCCTGCGTAGCCATGACACAAACATTATTGGATACTTCCTGCATACTAATGATAGAAAGCACATATTAGGCACCTACAGTGGGCAGCCCTCTGAGGTACACAATTTCCGGTTTTCCCTGCAACCCTATTCCCATTGTCCAGGTGGGAAAACCAAGCCTCAGAGAAGTGGGGGCGACTTGCATGAGGTCACACAGCTGGGAAGAGGCAGAGGTGGGGTTTGAACCCAGGCCCGGGCTCTTGCAGCTGCTTTCTGCTGCGCTTAGGGGTGGTGTCAGAGGGGCTGAGGCCCAGCCCTGACCCTCCCCAGTGGGAGAGGAGACAAGTAAACAGCAGAGCAAGGGGCTAAGGGTGGTGCCTGGCACACAGGGATGGGGCGGCTCTAGGAGCTTCGCAGCGCCCCAGCAGACACCTGAATAGTTGCTGCTGAGGGAATGAATGAGGATCAAGTGAGGCACACCCCTTTGATTTGAGGGGAGCATCTGGGAAGACATCAGAACAGGGGGCTTCTGCGCTGGATTGATCTTTGCTGGGTGGCAGGAAGAAAGACAGCTATTCAGGTGGAGGGGAGGGCTTGGGCAAAGGCCGGGGCGGGAGAACCTGGCTGGGTTGAGTGTTGGGGCACATCTGGGCAGGGTCTGGTTGGGCAAGGTAGGCGGTGGTAAGGCTCAAAGAGCAGGGGAGCCCCCTGGGAGTGACGCCTCCGGAGCTGAATACAAGGCCCCTGGACTGGACCACTGGGGATGCCGGAGAGGCTTTTAGTGGCGCTGAGAGCACGAGGCCAAAGTTCTTGGCATTCTTACATTCTTGGCCTCCCTCAAACACTGGATGTGATGGCCGGGAAGGGGATCTGGGGGGACGGGACAGCCCGGGCAAAGGAATGACAGTTCAACCAAGCCCACCTTTCCAACGGGAGCCCATGCTGTCCTGCTGGAGTTGGAGGCAGATGCATGCTGGCTTGGCTCTCCTCAAACCCGCCTCCCAATCTGTTTCCCACAGGGTGGAGCCCTGGAGTGTAGTTTTGGGCTGGAGGAGGTCTTCGAGGCTGTGTGCGTGAATGAGTCCATCGTACACTGTGACCAGGTGATGGCGAGTGGGGTGACTCCAGCATGGGTGGAGGGTGGGCCTGCATAAGTCCAGATGCTGTACCCCTCACTCTGCCCTGCCCCTCTCTACCTTCTGCTTCCCCCATCCCCATCCCCAGCAGCCCCGCCCTCATCTGCCTCTGGGACACCCACCCCCAGCAGAGCCCCAGGCACTCCCACGCCCCCCATGCTCTTTTCCGTCCTTTTGCAGCTGCATACGACCCAGAAAAGCCAGGTGTTCCCGCTCAGTCTCCAGCTAAAGGGGCAGCCAGCCCGATTCCTGGACAGCCCTGAGCCCATGAAAGGTGGGCCATGGGGCCTCAGTGCGGGGGGTGGGGTTCAGCCTTTCGGGACTTATTCCAGTGGTTGCCCCAAAGCCACAGATGTCCCCATGTTGTTCCCCAGCACATACACAGCCTCACATTTCAGCCCTGCCATTCTGTCCTAGGCTCCAGGCCTTGGAGTCTCCATGCCTGCTTTCTCCTGCCTTTCCAAGCAGACTATGCAAAACAGGACATAGTCTCTCTGCAGAGCTTGTGAGGACCTGCTGAGCCGGGGCTCGCCCAGCCTTGAGCGCGGCATCTGGGGCAGAATCAGCGCCCCGCGCCCCTCGAATGGTGGCTGCACAGTTGCTGGGACTGTCTGTGTTGGGTCAACTCTCCAGATGCCCCTCTGTTCACGGGGAGTCTCAGGCATCCCTGGTGGATGTGGTGCCCTCCAGATTCCCACCATGAAGGCCCCAGAACAGCCCTGCGTACCCAAGGCCCTGGAGAACCCTCCCTGCCCTCCTCCTTGGGCTACTTGGAGGGGTTGAAGCCCCCTAGTCCTCAGAGCCCACATTGCTCACGGGTCCCCAGTATCCCAGCAGCAAATCAACAAGGGCTCCATCGATGCCATCACAGGTAAGGCCCGATACACGCTCAACGAGGAGTGGCTGCTGCGGGAGAACATAGAGGCTAAGCCCTGGGTGAGCCGGCAGGGCTGGGAGGGTCCCAGGGCTGGGGCGTTGACCTTACGGCATTGACCCAGCCTTCCTGGGCAGGGCCTTGCTGCCTGGGCACCGACATGGTGATGGTGGCAACTCACTGATCTTTCTCTCCCGCCTTCCCCTGCAGAACCTGAACGTGTCCTTCCAGGGCTGCGGAATGGACTCGCTGAGCGTGCGGGCCATGGACACTGACACGCTGACGCAGGTCAAGGAGAAGATCCTGGAGGCCTTCTGCAAGAACGTGCCCTACTCCCAATGGCCGCGCGCGGAGGATGTCGACCTCGGTGGGTGGGGATGGGGTGGAGCCCCATCAGGCTGCTTCAGCTGGGGCTGGCCCCTGCCTTGACGGAAACACTCCTTCTACCTGGCATGGTGCATGAACGTGGTGACACGGAGAGGATCTGATGAGGCCCCTCGGCCAGAAGCTCTTGCTCTGTGGGAGACAAGTCCTGCAGTGTGGGCGAGTGAAGGGCAGCAGCAAAAAGCCTTCAGGAACGGCTTCCTCATTCCTAAAGGAGGGGTGCAACCCCTAAAGTGGGTTGGTTTGTCTTTGAGACAGGGTCTCACTCTGTCACCCAGGGTGGAGTGCAACCACTCAGTCTCAGCTCCTGGGCTCAAGTGATCCTCTCATTTCAGCCTCTTGAGTAGCTGGGACTACAGGTATGTGCCACCACACCCAGCTAATGTTACTTTCTGTAAAGATAGTGTCATGCTATGCTGCCCAGGCTGGTCTTGAACTCCTGGGCTCAAGTGATCCTCCTCCCTCAGCCTCTCAAAGTGCTGGGATTACAGGGGTGAGCTACGACGCCCGGCACGGAGTGGGTTTTGTGAGTCTTTGTGAGGCTAAGGGTTTCATCGAAATTGTAACATGAGCAGCCCTGCAGACAAGGCCACTTCCAGAGCTTCTCCTCGGTGTCCTCCATCCTGGCACCTTCACTTTGTACCCTCACACCCTCTCCCCCAGCTCATTTCCTGCCTTCCCCATTTTACAGATGGGAAAATGGAGGCTGAGAGAGGCATGGCTTGCCTCGGTTTCCATGGGGATAGCGAGAGGCCTCTCCCTGTGTGGCTGGGCCGGTACCTACCCCTCAGGCTCAGCTCCCTGCCCAGGCCCTGATGGTCTACTCCTTGTCCCCCAGAGTGGTTCGCCTCCAGTACACAGAGCTACAACCTTCGGGACCTGGATGACACCTCAGTGGTGGAAGACGGCCGCAAGAAGCTTAACACACTGGCCCATTACAAGGTGCAGTGTTGCCCCCACCCAGTCCTCAGCCTCCATTCCCCGACCCCGGCCTCCGGCCACTGACCTTGTCCTTTCCCCTCTTGTCAGATCCCTGAAGGTGCCTCCCTGGCCATGAGCCTTATAGACAAGACCACCACCACACTGGGCCGAGGTAGTGTGGGTGCACATGGGAAGGGAGTCTAGGCTACGTGTGGGTGGGGGCTTCCATCCCATGCCCCAGTGGGGAAACTGAGGCTCCAAGAGGCAGGGCTGTCCTGGGTTGAGGCCTCTTTGGTGGGGGCTGGGCGGGGCCAAGCTCCTCTGACCCAGTACTGCTTGGGCAGGACCCGCACCAGGCCTCTTCAAGCGATTTCCTATAGCAGCTGGAGAGATTCCCCGGGAGGCCGGGAAGTGGTTCCAGGAGGTCTGGGCAGTGGCCAGGCCAGAGGGGAGCCAGCATGCCAATCCAGCCTGGGGCCATGTCCCTGCCTCAAGTCCCCTCCACACCCTCAGATGGCACAGCCGCCTGGTTGGCAGGCCTGCGAGCCCAGGCTCCTGGGTCTCCGGGTCCCCTACTGAGGTTGGGGGCAGAATCTCAGGTCTCCCCCAGCAGGAGCTCTGGGTTCCAGAGGGGTGGGCAGAGGCAGCTGCCCTGCCTCCCCGGGCCCCTCCTCCTCTGTCCCTCCCTCTGAGTCCCTCCATCCCTGTGGTCACTGTGTGTGTGTATTTCTCTCTCTGCCTTACTCTGCCTTGTTGGCTGTGTGTCTCTGGACCTCTCTCCTCTCTCTCTCTCCATCTCTCCCAGGCTCAGTCTCCCTGTGAGTGTCTGCGCCTCGGTCTTCTTCTCTCTGCCTGTTTGGATCTCTGTCTCTGTTTCTCTCCCCGTCTTTCTGTCTTCGTTTCTGTTTCTCTCTCCTCTCCTCTCTCATGTTTATTTATTGTGTTCTTCCTCTCACAGTGAAAGACTTGGACACAGAGAAATATTTCCATTTGGTGAGTGCCCAAGCTCAGCCCCAGGGGATCCGGCCCCTCAGTGGGTGTGGCCTTGGCTTTCTGTGGCCTTGGGCCTCTGGGAAAAGTGCTCCAAGCCCCAGGAAAGGCTGGGGGTGGAGGAGTGGGGAAGGGGCCCCGAATCAGGAGGGAACCACAGCCCTGTGCGCTAAGAAGCATGGCAGAGCCAGACCTCCCACAGGCGGCCAAGGATGGGGCCTGGTGCGGATGCTGACCACTGCCTGGCCTCCCAGGTGCCGCCCACGGACGAACTGACAGAGCCCAAGAAGTCTCACCGGCAGAGCCACCGCAAGAAGGTGCTCCCAGAAATCTACCTGACCCGCCTGCTGTCCACCAAGGTGGGTCCAGCCTCAGTCTCCCCTCCGTGCAGTGGGTACAAGGGCCAGCTGTGCACATGGCTGGCTGGGAGAGGGCTGCGAGTTCTTCCTGTTTCCCTTGTGGAGCTGGAGGGCTGGAGAGCTAAGAGGCTGAATGCTTAGGGTCTCAGTTGAGGAGGCATTTCCTCCCATTGCTGCCAGGAAAAATGCCTGACAGACACTTCTACGTTAGTCCACGTAACGTCACAGCAGAGGCCCAGAGGGGTCAGTGATGTCCCCAAGGCCACACTCCACGCTCAGTAGCAGTGCCACCACCCCACAGCCCATACCCTGGCACCTCCAGTTCTGGACTCTGTGTCAGTGCCTTGATTGGTCCTTCCAGTGCCTCTGTGAAGCAAGTTTCGAAGGCTAACCCATTATCACAGACAAGAATACTGAGGCCAGATAGACTTGGTGACCAGCCTGATGCCATGTGGCTTCCTCATTCAGCAGCCTGGGCATTTCAAGCTCTGCAGAGCCACCAAGGGTACCCACTAGCCTTCTGCACATGGCCTGGGGCTGATGGTGGCCACCCTGCTACCCTCCAGGGCACGCTGCAGAAGTTTCTGGATGACCTGTTCAAGGCCATTCTGAGTATCCATGAAGACAAGCCCCCGCTGGCTGTAAAGTACTTCTTTGACTTCCTGGAGGAGCAGGCTGAGAAGAGGGGAATCTCCGACCCAGACACCCTACACATCTGGAAGACCAATAGGTGGGGGCCATGCGGATTTCACTGTGCCGTCGGGGCCCCTGTGGCAGGGGGTTCAGAGTCTAGTCTCTGGCCTCACCTACTTGGGTTTAAGCCCTCCTCTGCCATTTCCCAGCTGTGTGCTTTCAGATGAGTGACTTAGCCTCTCTGTGCTTCAGTTCCCCTCCATCCAGCTGTAAAATGCCACCCACGTTAATGGTAGGAATTAACTAGAAGAGTGCCCAGGAGGCACGGTCTAGGGGCTGTCCTTACTATCATTCTCCCACACCCCTCTCAGGTGGGCACCACTAGCTCCACTTCACAGATGAGCACACCTGCTCAAGCCCACACCGGCCCTGAGACAGTAGAGCCAGGCTCGGCCCCACATGACCTGAATCCCCTACCCAGTCGGTAGCCCTGCTTGGAAGCACCTCTTAGCTTGTCGGGGTCACACACCCCCACGAGAAGTTGCTGGAAACCCAGTCTGAGCCTTGGGAAGTACGCTGCCAGCCCAGGCATCTCTCTGCAGTGAGAGCAGCTTCCCAGAGCTCTGGGGGTGCACGTGCCCAGGCTGCTGAGTCACTGGGTGGCCTGAGGTGGGTGTTGCTCACCCTCTCTGGCCTCTTGAGGACAAGGCCAGCACTCCAGGCCCTGGCCCCTGCATTCCTGCCACAGCTACTCTGCTAATGCTGGACTTCCTGCTGCCTGCAAGGGTTGGGGGAGGAGCTGGGGGCTGGCAGGGTGGGGGCTTCTAATGAGAACCAGGACCTGGCTGGAGGCTCAGCAGGGGGTTGCGGGGGTGGACCAGCTAAGCCCTGCAGCTCCTGCCTTGCTCCAGCAGGAAACCCGGCTCTCGGCCCCACTGCCACCCCAGCTGGCCAGAGATGGGCAAACAACGTTCCCAAAGGTCACATCTTGTGACAAGGCTCCACCTCGGGCCCTTGAGGGACAATGCCAGCTCTCTCCTCCAAGGCTGTCCCTCCACTGCATCCTCCCCCACCCTACCCTCAGGGTGGGTTCTCATGGCCTTTGTTACCTCACCCCACAGCCTTCCTCTCCGGTTCTGGGTGAACATCCTGAAGAACCCCCAGTTTGTCTTTGACATCGATAAGACGGACCACATTGACGCCTGCCTCTCAGTCATCGCACAGGCCTTCATCGATGCCTGCTCCATCTCTGACCTGCAGCTGGGCAAGGTCGGCTGCTCCCAGGAATGACCAGGCCGGGCCCATGCACGGGGCGAGTGGGGTGCTGACCATGGGTGGCCTCCTCGGCTCTCTGAGGCTGACCTCAGAGATCTTCCTGGGAGGGGAACCAAAAAAGAGCTCAGGTCTAGCGAGTGTGGGATGAGTGAGTCATTCAGACAGGGAGGCACCTAGAAGCCGGTACCTTCCATCAGAAACTGCGTCACTGCAGACCAATGGCACCTGCCATAGCTGTGCTTGGCACTGGCTTTGAAAACTGAGGCCCAAAACCCGGTGTGGGAAAGCCAGTATGGGTGTAGACAACCTGCTTGGCCAGGCACAATGTCGTCTGAGAATCAGACTAAGCTCTGGCCAGCAGCCCCTGAAAGTCAAGAGCCATTCAAGCGAGCATTCAGTGAAGGGGTGGACAGAGGGGTGACGGGTGGCTAGGAGCTGTGAGATTCATGCAGTGGGTTGGGGGCACACCAGGCTCTGTCTGGCTTTAGAGGTTGGAGATGGAAGAAGATGGCCTTCCAGGCAGAGGGAATGACACCAGCAAAGACAGGGAGGCAGGAGAGCACTGGTGGCTGTGAGTAGGGATGAGACAGCATGATTAGAGCTGGCCCTGCAGGATTGGTCCAGGGCGTGCATGGCCCTGCATTTAGCCCATGCATTTCAGAGACGGACCATGGGAAAGAAAATGCCTTTGCTCCACTGCTTCTCACGTACTGCCTCAGAAGGCAGGATGCCCATGACAAAGAACTGGGAGTGTCCTTGGCACTTCTTCCGGGCGCTAGGAGCATGTGGTGGGAAATGTTCCACTGAGCCAGCACTCAGGCTTCCAGAAATCCTAGCCACCAAGACCTATCACCTGTCAAGGACACATCCTTGTTACGTGGAATGGGCTGCATGCAGCAAAGAGCTGGCACGAAGTCTGTGCACTGTTCCTCCTGAAAGAAGTAGGGCTCCCGCAGGTCACTGTCCTGATAGTCCTGGGGAAAGTAGGTGGGGCAGACAGAGCACAGTGAGGAGCCCCTGGTCAGGGGCTGGCTGAGTAGGGGACGTTCAGTGACAGGGCGAGCCTCTTCGGGCCTCAGGGGCCTGCTTAAGGTCACTTATGTGGCAGGAGGGATGAGGGCTTATCTAGAAAACAACCCGATCTGTCCTTTCTCCAGCGGCCATCTAACCCCCTCACTCCTCTCTGCCCAGGATTCGCCAACCAACAAACTCCTCTATGCCAAGGAGATTCCCGAGTATCGGAAGATCGTGCAGCGCTACTACAAGCAGATCCAGGACATGACGCCGCTCAGCGAGCAGGAGATGAACGCCCATCTGGCTGAGGAGTCTCGGGTACAGAGGTTTGGGGGGGCCCTGACGAGCTGCAGGATCGGAGCTGGGGGTCTGGGCCTCAGTGCCTCCACTGGAATAAGGGCAGGGAGCACAGTGGGCATTTCAGGCAGCTGTGACCTCTTGCTGGCCTGTAAGTTCGTTGCACATTTTCCCAGAGCTTGGGGCGTGGGAGCAGGAGAGCACCCTCTGGACGGAGAGGAGACTGGACTTCAGGGTCCGGGAAGCCATCTTCATCTGCAGGACTTGAGGGGCCTCGTCGGTGAACTGTGCCGTGGGGAGTTGGGGGGTTGTGTACAAGCTGGCTTTGATGGGGTGTGGCTCAGCTTTGACAGCTGGGTTCTCCTCCTCCTCCCCGTCCTGCCTCCTTGTAGAAATACCAGAATGAATTCAATACCAATGTGGCCACGGCAGAGATTTATAAATACGCCAAGAGGTATCGGCCACAGGTGAGTGCCCTAGGGTGAGGCACCTGTGGTCAGGGCAGGGGAGCTTCCTACTCAAGTACACACATCTCAGGATGGCCGCCACTGGTGGTGGACATTCAGGGGTGCGTTCTCCCCCGCGAGGGGCCCGGCTGACTCCGCTGCTCCCCTCAGATCATGGCTGCACTAGAGGCCAACCCCACGGCCCGGAGGACACAGCTGCAGTACAAGTTTGAGCAGGTGGTGGCTGTGATGGAGGACAACATCTACGAGTGCTACAGTGAGGCCTGAGACACACGGAGAGCTGGTCAGGCTGCTGCTGGGGAAACAAGATGCCTGCTGGGGCTCGACCTGATCTTCCACCCCTTGCCTGTGACTCAGGCTGGGAAATACTGAGCAGAGACGGCTGGGGCGGGGGCAGGAGGAGGGGCTGCTCTGAGCCAGGCAGAGGTGCTCAGCCTTGACCCCTGGGGACCTCCATGCCCTCCCACCTGGTTCCCAGATCAGTCTCTGGGACGGGGGCCAGAGAGCTGGTCAGGCTCCCCCGTCTGCCCAGCACGGCCTGTACTGTGCCCACCCACTCGCTCCGCAGCGCCCAGCTGGTCCTGCTGCTGAGAGCCCCGAGCAACCAGGCAGCCAAGCACAAAGACGGGGAGAGGAGGCTGCAGCCCAGAAACTCTACCTCATCTACACTGGGGCAGGGAGCCGTCCTTGAACCGGCCTTTGATTGGTTTCTGCTTCAACCACCAAAACGTCATCACCACTTTCCCCTCACCCAAAGAGGATCCTGGCCACAGACACTTTCAAGCAGTGTCAGGTTTTTGTTGCTTGGGCGGCTGTTGGTAGAGTGGGCAGTGCCCACGCCAAGGGGTGCTCTGTGGGCTCCTCCAGGAGCAGGAAGGGTGGAGGGGAGGGGAGGGGTGGGGAATACAGGAGCTGAGAGCCCCGTCTCCAGGGAAAGGAGAGGGGTTAGGATGCACCTAGGCTGTAGCTGGGCTACTTGCTCTTGCTGGAAGTGTTTCTAAAGATAGCACCACATTTTTTTTTTTTAAAAAGCTTTTATATATTAAAAAAAAAAAACGTATCATGCACCAACTGTGAATAGCTGGCGCTTGCGCAGAGGACCCGGGGAAGTGTCCCGAGAGGCTCCCCCTGCAACACTGGAAAAGACTGCTCCAGAGATCGGGCAGACCTGGCAGAGCGCCCCCGGAGCCTGAGACCAGCACCCATCCCGCTCCTGCCAGAAGCGACCCTATGTGGCCGAGGGGCCATGTCGGCCCCTTGAAGTCAACTCAGCCAGTGTTGGGACTGGCTCAGAGCCCATGGGGGCCGGAGGAGGGCAGCTGGGACTCTGGAATCTTTTTTATAATAAAAGCCTGACGGGCAAACCTCCTGTGGGCTCCAACCTTTGTCCTAAGATAGCCAATCGGTGAGATAGTTTCTTTACCAGTTTGTGAGAGAGGGAGGGAGGGAGCCTGCCGTCCCTCCTGCCTCCGCTGCACTCTGAGGTTTGGGCAGTCACGGAGATGAAACGAGACGGTACAGGCTGTGTACATGCTATGGGCCTGGCCTGGAGCTGACATTCCTTAAGCTCTGAAGACACCCCGGAACGTCCAGGAAGATTTCCCAGCTGCTGTGCGCTGCCTGCAACTGTGTGGGCCCTGCTCCTCCCCTCAGCTCTAACAAGCCCACGAGGAGCGTGCTAGCGTCCCTGTGTGACAGACACAGCAACCAGGCTCAGCACAGCTGAGGCATTGCTCAAGGTCCCACAACAAGGAAGGAGCAGAATGAGAACCACGTCACATGGGCCCTTCCTTCCTCTGTCCCGTGCACCCTCCAGGCCAGAGTCTCCCCAGTGGTCCCCCAAATAGGTGGGAGGCCAAAGATGACCACCCTAGAAAGGGAGCTGACACTTGCCCTGAATTTCTGATCAAGCTTAAAAAGTACGTAGCATTGGCTGGACGCGGTGGCTCACGGCTGTAATCCCAGCACTTTGGGAGGCCGAGGCGAGCGGATCACGAGGTCGAGATGGGGACCATTCTGGCCAACATGGTGAAACCCCATCTCTACTAAAAATACAAAAATTAGCCAGGCGTGCTGGCGTGTGCCTATAGTCCCAGCTACTCGGGAGGCTGAGGCAGAAGAATCGCTTCAACCTGGGAGGCGGAGGCTGCGGTGAGCCAAGATTGTGTCACTGCGCTCCAGCCTGGCAATAGAGTGGGACTCTGTCTCAAAAAAAAGTACCTAACAGTTCAGCCCATTTATCAGAAAAGGAAGCAGGCAGTTTAACCCCCAAGCACAGTTGAACCCTAAACACTGATCTCCACAGTACAGGCTGTTCCTCACCCCTGCCCACAGGAACAGTGAACCTGACACAGACACTCCCAGCCCGCTGGCTCCTCCCCACCCCAGGGAAAGGGAAAGATCTCAAGAGCCAGCTCCAAATGTACAGCAACTCTAATTTCTTGCTTTTGTGAAGGAAAAATAGTTACACACGTACTTATCAAGAGTAAGAACTAGGACAAAAGATTCATACACTTTAAACAAAATCCCACAAATACCAGTTCTAGAATTAATGAGAACAGAAAAGTGAGGAGAAAAGTAAACAAGCTTTTGCTTTAAAAACAGCTTTTTCCTGTAGTGGCTTCTGTGTGGAATGATAGTCTTTATCTTTCACATGTTCTATTCTGAGCATTGACTCCTTCTTATTAAGCGGCAGATTTTCTAATTTATCAGCACATTTGATAGCATTTGAGGGTGAGGGAGGCGGGTGTGACTCTAGAATGAATACCCGGTTCCCAGAGAAATGGAAGCACAAAAAGCGTGAAGAAAATAAGAGCTGCCCTAACCCTCCGTGACTAGCAAGCCTTTTCCAGAACGCCACCCGCATGGGGTGCTTGGATAGGGCGGGGCCGAGGAGTGAACTTGGGATGGGGCGCACACACCATTTTGCAACCTGATTTTCCCCCATGCAACAATATGTCAGTAACATCTTTCTGTGTCATTAAATATTCCACAGCCTGTCTTAATGTCTGATTAACATGCACTTCCTCCTTGAAGTTCAGAAATGTATTTGCTAATGGAGGAAATCTCTCGTTTTCAGAGTCGTTTTTCAGCAGGGAAAGTGGCCACCTTCCATGAACCAGCTATAATCCTTATCTGGGGTTCTGAGGACCTGGCAGCTGTGGGCAGCAGGGAGGTCCCTACCCTCTGAGGGTCATAGGAGGCTGGGGACCCCTGATGTCGCATCCTCAAACTAAACACCTTTCAAAAGGGAAGAAACCATTGCAGCTAAGGGAGGTGACTTGCCCAAGGTTTCACAGACGCCAGACACCCCCTGCCCCTGCCCCCGGCTCATGGACATGAGATGCCCAGTGATTCCCTCTGCACTGCAGCCTGCCCGGAGGTGCCTCCCACAGCTCCAGGCCAAGCCGTGAATGAGTGGTGGCAGGAGCAGACCCCTCCTAGGGAAGCACCAGCCCAGCCCCACTGCACCATCTGCTCTGGGCGCCCCTCTGGGCCCTGCTGGCAGCCACATTACCGACACCCCAGGGAGGCTGTCAGCACATCTAGGCAAAGCCTGGATCCCAGGAGGAGAGAGTGGGGTGACGGAGCAGGGGCGGGCCGGGAGCGGCTGTTGCCCTGTGCTGAGCAGCCTGCCTCCCTCTGTGCTGTCTGCCCCTCTCTCAAGGCCTGTGCAGTTTGCTTCTGACACTCCCTTTAGTCTACCCCTCCTCTGTGTCCTCCATGGCTTGGCTGCTACCTCTCATCAGGACCACATCTCAGCAGCCTCCCAGCACGTGCCGAGTCCTCACCTCAGGAATGATCACTCAGCAGTCACCTAGCTGTCTAGACCCCCAACTGCGGACTCATCAGTGACCCTTCCTCCATTCAGTCCATCAGCAGAGCCTGTCCACACCGCCTTCAGCAGCGACCCAGAATCTACCACTTGTAACCACTTGCTCCGTGAGCACGTCCTGGCTGGCCACCACTCCCTCATCTGGGCAGTGGCAGGGGCCTCCTCGAAGGCCTGACTGTCCACATCCCTGCAGTGACTCTGTTGCTGGCCGTCCTCTAATGGTTCCCTATTAACAATTAAAATAAAGCCCACCGTGCTTGCCCTGGGCTTACAAGGCCCTGCGTGATCCAGCCCTCATCTACCCTACAGCCCTTGTTCTGGTGAAATGAGGGGATCTGTTTAGAAAGATCCATTGCTTCGGGACACACCACCCCAGGACATAGGGGCTTGAAATAACAGCAGTCACTTCTTTTGTCCACGAATCTGCAATCGGGACAGGGCTTGGCAAGAAAGGCTTGTCCCAGTTTCACCAGGTGTCTTCTGGGGCAGCTCAATTAGGGCTGGAAGATGCAGTTCCGACATGCGGCACTCAGACAGTGGCAGATGGTACCAGCTGGTCAGGGAGTTCAGCGGGGGCTGAACGGTGGGATCCTCAGTTCCTCTCCACAAGCTGCTTGGGCTTCCCCATAGAATGGTGGCCAAGTTCGAAGAGTGAGTATCACAAAACAAGAACCGTCCCCAAACACAAGAACTAGAAGCTGCCTTAAGGTGGGGCCCAGGAATTGTCATCACGTCATTGTCACTGAACTCTACTAGTCAAGCAGTCATGGAGCCCGCCTCTCCATGTGAAGGGTGCCGAGAATGTTTTTAAAGCCCCTGGTCCTCATCTCCCATGCCTGTCCTTCTCTTTACTGGGCTGTAGCCTCACAAACCTTCCTGTGGAACGTGTTCCCACCCCAGGGCCTTTGCACCCACTCTTCCTTCTGCTGAAATGTGACCCACTCCAGACACAAGGTCCTTGCTCAGACAGCCCCTCCCATCCTGTCTCAAACTAGCAGCCAGCCCTACCTGCCCTGCTGGAAGCCCCACCCCGCCTCCTCTTCAGAGCACAGGTGCTGGCTGCTGCAGAGTAGGAGACCTGTTGACTGTCGCTGTGCCTGGCCCAGTAGCACTTCAGAACCAGTGGCTGAAAGGTCTCCCTCTCTTCTCAGCCACTCTAATCTTTCCTTTCCACAGCCAGAGGGTTCTTTCTAAACAGATCCCCCTCCTTTCACCCCACCCCTCACACGACACCCTCGGCCCCATCCACCTGGCAAAGGCTACCCATCCTTTAGGATCAAAAGCCACCTCCTCCTGGAAGCCTGATCTCAGGGCCGGGTTAATCCCCACCAGCTCCTTTGCATCTCAATATCTGATGTCTGTGCCGCAGCTCCATACAGCACACAGTCTCCCCGAGGCAGGACCTCCTATCTGAGCCCCAGCATTAGCCAGGTAAACAGCAGGTGCTCAGGGGATGCTCGTGGAGGACCGAATGGCCAAGTCCTTGAACCTCAGCCCCTACCCACACAATTGCAGGGGAAAATAAACAAGTCTTTATTGATAAATAGGTTAGAATTAAATAAATAGAGCAATAGTTTGTTCAAGAATAAAAACGAGGACAGAGGCTAAGTATCTCTCCACCCCTGCCTCCGGCCCCAAGCTTCAGCCCTCTGGCTGGACACTTTGGATGATGGGAACTTGATGTCGATGGGCAGCCCAGCCGTTCTCGAGCCCTTAGGGGCCTCTGTCTTCCTGGACAGATGTGCAGGTACCTCCTTGGACCCACCGGCCTTAGCAGAAGCACCCTTGGCATTCGGCCCCTGCCCAGCCCCAGTGGGGGCAGGGGCCTGGGACTGGGCCTTGGCCCGGGCCACTGACTTCTTTTCGGTTAGGGAAGCAGTACCACTCTTGACCTATACAAAAGCAAACCAGAAGCAACGAGACAGCTGGGAAGGTCTGAAATCGCAGCTCTGGATGGCTCTGGGTACACAACATTTCCCTTCTAAGCCTTAGTCTCTCATTTCTAAGACGAGGATGGCAACACCGCCAGGGGGCCGGGGGACCAGAGAGAAGGTGGTGGACTGTGCTTTGTACGAAAAGAAATTGACACCCATCCCCAGCTGACCGTTCCAGGGGCTGGGTGTGGGATGCCCAAGCGCTGGCCTGTACAGGGTAGCCAGCCAGACCAGGAAAGTCGGGCAGGCACCTACCTTGCTGACCGTGGGTCTTAAACTCTTACTCCCAGCTTTGGTTTTCCTGCTGGCCTCAGCACCTCCTGGAATGTGATGGAGAAGGTTTTGTGGGAGAAGGAAGAGAAACTGCTGGTGGGGCAGGAAGTTTCAGGGGCTCTGGAACCCCCATTCCTCCTGGGCCCTAGTCTTCACTCAGCTATGTGACATGCAGCAAATCGTTTAGCCACCCTGAGCCTCAGTGGCCTAGTTTGAAGACAGGAATAACAGCACTCCCCTCAGAGTAGCTGGAGGATTAACTGGAGCCCTTGCTCTATACAAAGCACTGGGGCTCCAAGCCCACAGATGCCACAGGCTCCTAACAGGTCTGTCACCTCTAGTCTTTAGTTTGTCTTCCACCAGGCAGCCAGGATACTTTTCTTTTCTTTCAAGACAGGGTCTCACTCTGTCACTCAGGCTGGAGCGTGGTGTTGTGATCTCAGCTCACTGCAGCCTTGACCTCCCAGGCTCACGTGATCCTCCTGCCTCAGCCTCCCGAGTAGCTGGGGCGACAGGTGTGCAAGAGCAAGCACAGCTGGGATCCCACTGTGTTGCCCCAGCTAGTCTCTATCTCCTGGGCTCAGCACTCACCTGTGTGACAGAGCAAGAACCTGTCTCTGAAAGAGCAAGAAGGAACAAAAGAAGGACTCTAGCCTGAGCTGCTTCCTGTCAGAATCCTTCCACAGCTCCACACTGTCCTCCAGATAAAGCCCCTATTCAGCTGCCCTTCACAGCTTCTCCTTGCCAACACTGCAGGAAGACCAAAATATCTGCAGTTCCTCAACAACTCCACGTTCCATTTGTGTTTTGTTTTGACACAGAGTCTCACTCCGTCACCCACGCTGGAGTGCAATGGCGCGATCTCCGCTCACTGCAACCTCTGCTTCCTGGGTTCAAGTGATTTTTCTGCCTCAGCCACCCAAGTAGCTGGGATTATAGGCATGCACCACCATGCCCAGTTAATTTTTGAGTTTTTAGCAGAGATGGTGTTTCACCATGTTGACCATGCTGGCCTCAAACTCCTGACTTCAAGTGACCTGCCCGCCTTGGCCTCCCAAAGTGTTGGGCTTACAGGCATGAGCCACTGTGCCTGACCCAAAAACCCTACCTTCTTTATGCCTTCAGGCCTTTGCACAGCCTCTTCCCCTGCTTGGGACACCTCCTCCAGGAAGCCTTCCCTGACCCCTGCCTCAAGGACGAGTCAGGCCCTGGTCTCTGTTCCCCCTTCATAATCCTTGAAATGTCTGCCTCCTTCCCCTAACTACCTACCATGAGTTCTTTCTCTCCAGGTCAAGCCCAGCACTCAGGGCACATGCACTAGATAAGGAAAGCCCTCTCCAGAGCTGGCTCCCCAATCCCACTCCAGTGGCTGTCAAAACCCCTATACCCACACCACCCTCCACAAGTCACACAGTTAGCTGGGCTCCTCCAGCTGCCTTTGGCCTCTGCCTTCCTGCTGAACCCACTGTCATTAGAAGGGGCCCGCATGGCCTTGTCTGGCTTGGGGGGCACCTTCTGAGCCTCACCTGGCTGTGCCTCGGTGTCCTTGGCCTTGCTGCTTTCTTTGCAAGCTTTTTCTGTGTCTGTGCCTGGCTTGAGGGGAGGCTTCTGCACCTCCGCTGGACTCTTGGCTCCCTTTTTCCCCTTGCCTGCCTTGGGAGGCTCCTCCTTGGCCTCATCTGGTTTCTTGGGGACCTTCCCCTTGGCCACGCCTGCTCTCCTGGGGGCCTTCGGGGAGGCCGTCTTCCTGGGCTTGATTGTCCTCTCGTGGTTGGTAACTAACTGGAAGAGAACATGGGGTAGGACTGAGAGCAGAGCCTCAGGTGCCTGATATCTGCCATTCTCCAAATGGGAGGCCTTATTCCAAACCTGGGGGCTCTGCAGTCAATGAGGGTCGGGCAGAAGGCACAAAGCCACCATCCTCAGAGTCACTGTCTACTACAATTCTAGGATCTCATGACCTCTCAGCCACACCCCCTGCACCTGCCACTTTCCCACAGATCATGCCTCTGGACTCCCCCTCCCCCACCACCCGGCAGTGCCGCCCTGCCTCATGCCCCATGCCCCGTGCCCCTGCCACCTTGCCCCTTGATACTCAGCAGAACATGGGCTGAGGGCAGATGGCTCCGGGCTCATGGCTTCCTCCGCCCCCTCCAGCCATGTACCACAGCCTCCTCTTCTCATCTTTACAGCAGACCATCACCAAGGGCGTGAGTGGCAGGGTAAGGGAAGGCTCCTGGCAAGTTGTTTCTTTCCTGCCCCCCAACCCTCAGGGCTTCCCATGACCAAGATTAGAAACCACTCGCAGCCCCCAACTGCCAGCACACCGCATCAAACACCAGACGCCCCCTGGCTCTTCCCTTGCCCAGCCGCCTGGCCCTGCCATGACGCAAGTCCAGGCTCTGACTGGCACCCAGGAGTTCCACCATGGTGGGACTTCATGTGATCTGTCACCTGGCAACCACCGGGACCGGCACAGGGTAGGCTGAGAATGTTCCCCAGTGTTCCATGGCAACTGTCACGGCAGCTGCTATGTGCCGGAAGTTGGGCAAGATGCAGGGGCCCGGCAATGACAAGTCAGGCCCTGGGTCTGGTCCCTGAGGTTTTCCTGATGGCTGATGACAGTCCTGATGCTGGGGTGCAGTTTTGTCCCAGACCTGCCCCAGCTCTGAATGACCTGGCATGGATCCCCTCTTGGTGTCTCCTTATGAGGATAAAACGCTCTCCTTTGAAACAGAGGACGTGGCTGCTCAGGGAGGTGCCAGCCCTAACCTGGTCTTGGAGCCGGAGAGAGCAGGGGGAAATCTCTTTGCTGTGGTGAGGAATTCCAGGAAGGGGCTGTGTGCCCAGGACCCAGAAACGAGCACAGCTGGCACAGTCCCTGGGATCCCAAACATGCAACAGTTCACCTGTCCCGGACACCGACAGGGTGACCCTTGCAGTGGGAGCTCAGATGAAGCGCACCACCGGCCTTCCTGGAGGAGAGGGCATCTCGGCCGAGACTACAGGAGGAGCACAAAGAGGGGACCGGAGGGGAAAGGCCTTCCAGGAGAGGCTGCAGCTCTCGCAGAGGCCAGGACTATCACTGCAATCCTGGGCCACATTCTCCCACATGAGTGCTTACTTTGAAGCTGCCAGTGGCCCCCCTGGCTCTGGAGTTGAGAGGCCTGGCGAGGAGGCCACGGCACATGCCAGTGGCCAGCGCCTTCTTCAGCAGGTACTTGAAGCAAGGGCCATCTGCTGCGGGGTACTTTCGCAGGATGTAGTGCTTGATGGCTACCACCGATGTGCCCTGGCGGCGCTGTTCCCCTGCCTGCATCGCCTCCAGCACCATTTGCAGCGTGGGGGGGTGGCGGCGTCCCACTGGGAAGATACGGAGGCTTGGACCTGAGGACAGATGGCAGGCCATCACCTGGGGCCCAGGCATCTCAGTGGCAGGTGTCGGCTGGCCTGTGGGGTGTGGCTGAGGGCCCAGTAAGGATCAGATGCCCCCTCTCACCAAGACACTAAATGCTGGCATGAAAGCTCCTGGACAGTCTCCCTCAAAGCTGATTGCATCTCTCTCTATCTCTTTTTTTTTTTGAAACACAGTCTCACTCTGTCCCCAGGCTGGAGTCCAATGGCGCGCTCTCCGCTCACTGCAACCTCTGCCTCCTGGGTTCAAGTGATTTTTCTGCCTCAGCCACCCAAGTAGCTGGGATTATAGGCATGCACCACCATGCCCAGTTAATTTTTGAGTTTTTAGCAGAGATGGTGTTTCACCATGTTGACCATGCTGGCCTCAAACTCCTGACTTCAAGTGACCTGCCCGCCTTGGCCTCCCAAAGTGTTGGGCTTACAGGCATGAGCCACTGTGCCTGACCCAAAAACCCTACCTTCTTTATGCCTTCAGGCCTTTGCACAGCCTCTTCCCCTGCTTGGGACACCTCCTCCAGGAAGCCTTCCCTGACCCCTGCCTCAAGGACGAGTCAGGCCCTGGTCTCTGTTCCCCCTTCATAATCCTTGAAATGTCTGCCTCCTTCCCCTAACTACCTACCATGAGTTCTTTCTCTCCAGGTCAAGCCCAGCACTCAGGGCACATGCACTAGATAAGGAAAGCCCTCTCCAGAGCTGGCTCCCCAATCCCACTCCAGTGGCTGTCAAAACCCCTATACCCACACCACCCTCCACAAGTCACACAGTTAGCTGGGCTCCTCCAGCTGCCTTTGGCCTCTGCCTTCCTGCTGAACCCACTGTCATTAGAAGGGGCCCGCATGGCCTTGTCTGGCTTGGGGGGCACCTTCTGAGCCTCACCTGGCTGTGCCTCGGTGTCCTTGGCCTTGCTGCTTTCTTTGCAAGCTTTTTCTGTGTCTGTGCCTGGCTTGAGGGGAGGCTTCTGCACCTCCGCTGGACTCTTGGCTCCCTTTTTCCCCTTGCCTGCCTTGGGAGGCTCCTCCTTGGCCTCATCTGGTTTCTTGGGGACCTTCCCCTTGGCCACGCCTGCTCTCCTGGGGGCCTTCGGGGAGGCCGTCTTCCTGGGCTTGATTGTCCTCTCGTGGTTGGTAACTAACTGGAAGAGAACATGGGGTAGGACTGAGAGCAGAGCCTCAGGTGCCTGATATCTGCCATTCTCCAATGGGAGGCCTTATTCCAAACCTGGGGGCTCTGCAGTCAATGAGGGTCGGGCAGAAGGCACAAAGCCACCATCCTCAGAGTCACTGTCTACTACAATTCTAGGATCTCATGACCTCTCAGCCACACCCCCTGCACCTGCCACTTTCCCACAGATCATGCCTCTGGACTCCCCCTCCCCCCACCACCCGGCAGTGCCGCCCTGCCTCATGCCCCATGCCCCGTGCCCCTGCCACCTTGCCCCTTGATACTCAGCAGAACATGGGCTGAGGGCAGATGGCTCCGGGCTCATGGCTTCCTCCGCCCCCTCCAGCCATGTACCACAGCCTCCTCTTCTCATCTTTACAGCAGACCATCACCAAGGGCGTGAGTGGCAGGGTAAGGGAAGGCTCCTGGCAAGTTGTTTCTTTCCTGCCCCCCAACCCTCAGGGCTTCCCATGACCAAGATTAGAAACCACTCGCAGCCCCCAACTGCCAGCACACCGCATCAAACACCAGACGCCCCCTGGCTCTTCCCTTGCCCAGCCGCCTGGCCCTGCCATGACGCAAGTCCAGGCTCTGACTGGCACCCAGGAGTTCCACCATGGTGGGACTTCATGTGATCTGTCACCTGGCAACCACCGGGACCGGCACAGGGTAGGCCGAGAATGTTCCCCAGTGTTCCATGGCAACTGTCACGGCAGCTGCTATGTGCCGGAAGTTGGGCAAGATGCAGGGGCCCGGCAATGACAAGTCAGGTCCTGGGTCTGGTCCCTGAGGTTTTCCTGATGGCTGATGACAGTCCTGATGCTGGGGTGCAGTTTTGTCCAAGACCTGCCCCAGCTCTGAATGACCTGGCATGGATCCCCTCTTGGTGTCTCCTTATGAGGATAAAACGCTCTCCTTTGAAACAGAGGACGTGGCTGCTCAGGGAGGCGCCAACCCTAACCTGGTCTTGGAGCCGGAGAGAGCAGGGGGAAATCTCTTTGCTGTGGTGAGGAATTCCAGGAAGGGGCTGTGTGCCCAGGACCCAGAAACGAGCACAGCTGGCACAGTCCCTGGGATCCCAAACATGCAACAGTGTCCCGGACACCGACAGGGTGACCCTTGCAGTGGGAGCTCAGATGGAGCACACCACCGGCCTTCCTGGAGGAGAGGGCATCTCGGCCGAGACTACAGGAGGAGCACAAAGAGGGGACCGGAGGGGAAAGGCCTTCCAGGAGAGGCTGCAGCTCTCGCAGAGGCCAGGACTATCACTGCAACCCTGGGCCACATTCTCCCACATGAGTGCTTACTTGGAAGCTGCCAGTGGCCCCCCTGGTTTTTAAGTGGGGGGGCCTGGCGAGGAGGCCACGGCACATGCCAGTGGCCAGCGCGTTCTTCAGCAGGTACTTGAAGCGAGGGCCATCTGCTGCGGGGTACTTTCGCAGGATGTAGCGCTTGATGGCTACCACCGATGTGCCCTGGCGCTGCTCCTCTGCCTGCAGCACCTGCATCGCCTCCAGCACCATTTGCAGCGTGGGGGGGTGGCGGTGTCCCACTGGGAAGCTGCTGCGGCTTGGACCTGAGGACAGATGGCAGGCCATCACCTGGGGCCCAGTCATAATTCAGTGGCAGGTGTCAGCTGGCCAGTGGGGTGTGGCTGAGGACCCAGTAAGGATCAGGTGCCCCCTCTCACCAAGACACTAAATGCTGGCATGAAAGCTCCTGGACAGTCTCCCTCAAAGCTCATTGAGTCAGTCAGTCTCTCTCTCTCCCTCTGTCCCCAGTCTCGCTCTGTACCCAGGCTGGCACGATCTCCGCTCACTGCAACCACCTCTGCCTTCTGGGTTCAAGCGATTCTCCTGCCTCAGCTTCCTATCTGGGATTACAGGTGCGTACCACCACGCGCAACTCATTTTTTGTATTTTTAGTAGAGACAGGGTTTCACCATGTTGGCCAGGCTAATCTCGAACTCCTGACCTCATGATCCACCTGCCTTGGCCTCCCAAAGTGCTGGGATTACAGCCATGAGTCACCATGCCCGGTCAAGTCTTTTTTTTTTTTAAAGAAAAAGGGAGAAGAATCAAATAGATGCAATAGAAAACAATAAAGGGGATATCACCACTGATCCCACGGAAATACAAACTACAATCAGTTACTACAAACAGCTCTACTCACATAAACCAGTAAACCAGGAAGAAATGGATACATTCCTAGACACTTGTACTCTACCAGACTAAACCAGGAGGAAGCTGAAACCCTGGATAGACCAATAACAAGGGCTGAAGTAGAGGCAGCTATCCATAGCCTACCAACCAAAAGAAGTCCAGGTCCAGATGGGTTCACAGCCGAATTCTACCAGACGTACAAAGAGGAGCTGGTTCCATTCCTTCTGAAACTGTATCAAACAATACAGAAGGAGGGAACCCTCCCTAACTCATTTTATAAGACCAACATCATCCTGATTCCAGGCAAAGACTCAACTAAAAAAGAAAACTTCAGGCCAATATCCATGATGAACGTCGACACAAAAATCTTCAATAAAATACTGGCAAACAGATTGCAACAGCACATCAAGAAGCTTATCCATCACGATCAAGTAGGCTTCATCCTGGGCATGCAGGGCTGGTTCAACATATGCAAATCCATTAATGTAATCCGTCACATAAACAGAACCAAAGACAAAAACCACATGATTATCTCAATAGATGCAGAGAAGGCCTTCGATAAAATTCAACAGCCCTTCATGCTAAAAACTCTCAATAGACTAGGTATTGATGGAACATGTCATAAAATGATAAAGCTATATATGACAAACCTACAGCCAATATCATACTGAATGGGCAAAAGCTGGAAGAATTCCCTTTGAAATGAGGCACTAGACAAGGATGCCCTCTCTCACCACTCCTATTCAACATAGTATTGGAAGTTCTTGTCAGAGCAATCAGGCAGGAAAAAGAAATAGAGGGTATTCGATTAGGAAAGGAGGAAGTCAAATCGTCTCTATTTGCAGATGATGTGATTATATATCGAAAAGACCCCATCCCCTCAGCCCAAAATCTTCTCAAACTGATAAGCAACTTCAGCAAAGTCTCAGGATACAAAATCAATGTGCAGAAATCACAAGCATTTCTATGCACCAATAACAGACAAACAGAGAGCCAAATCAAGAGAGAACTCCCATTCACAATTGCTACAAAGAAAACAAAATATCTAGGAATACAACTGACAAAGATTGTAAAGGACCTCTTCAAGGAGAGCTACAAACCACTGCTCAACGAAATGAGAGGACACAAACAGATGGAGAAACATTTCCTGCTCATGGTTAGGAAGAATCAACATCATGAAAATGGCCATACTGCCCAAAGTAATCTATAGATTCAACACTCTCCCCATCAAGCTACCAATGACCTTCTTCACAGAACTGGAAAAAACCACTTTAAACTTCATATGAAATCACAAAAGACCTCACATAGCCAAGACAATCCTAAGCAAAAAGAACAAAGCCGGAGGCATCACACTGCCTGACTTCAAACTATACTACAAGACTACAGTAATCAACACAGCATGGTACTGGTACCAAAGCAGAGATATAGATCAATGGAGCAGAACAGAGACCTCAGAAGAAACACCACACACCTACAACCATCTGATCTTTGACAAACATGGCAAAAACAAGCAATGGGGAAAGGACTCCACGTTTAATAAATGGTGTTGGGAAAACTGGCTAGCAATGTGCAGAAAGCAGAAACTGGACCCCTACCTGTCACCTTACACTAAAATTAACTCCAGATGGATCAAAGATTTAAACATAAAACCATAAAATACTAGAACCATAAAACACCATAAAAACCCTAGAAGAAAACATAGGCAAAGCCATCCAGGACATAGGCATAGGCAAGGACTTCATGACTAAAACACCAAAAGCAATGGCAATAAAACCCATGATAGACAAATGGGATCTAATTAAATTCCAGAGCTTCTGCACAGCAAAAGAAACCATCATTAGAGCGAATTGGCAACCAACAGAAAGGGAAAATATTTTTGCAATCTACCCATCTGACAAAGGGTAATATCCAAAATCTTCAAAAAACTAAAACAGACATACAAGAAAAAAACAAACAACCCCATTCAAAAGTGGGTGAAGGATATGAATAGACACTTTTCAAAAGGAGACATATATGAGGCCAACAAACATATGAAAAAATGCTCATCATTACTGGTCATTAGAGAAATGCAAATCAAAATCACACTGAGATATCATCTCACGCCAGTTAGAATGGTGATCATTAAATCATCTGGAGACAACAGATGCTGGAGAGGATGTGGAGAAACAGGAATACTCTTACACAGTTGGTGGGAGTGTAAATTAGTTCAACCATTGTGGAAGACAGTGTGGTGATTCCTCAAGGCCTTAGAAATAGAAATTCCATTTGAACCAGCAATCCCATTACTGGGCACATACCCAAAGAACTATAAGTCGTTCTACTATAAAGACACATGCACATGTGTGTGTTCACTGCAGCCCCGTGTACAGTAGCAAAGACCTGGAACCAACCCAAATGCCCATCAATGATAGACTGGACAAAGAAAATGTGGTACATATACACCATGGACTACTACGCAGCCACAAAAAACGATGAGTTCGTGTCCTTTGTAGGGACTTGGATGAATCTGGAAACCATCATTCTCAGCAAACTGACAGAAGAACAGAAAGCCAAACACCGCATGGTCTCACTCACACGCAGGTGTTGAACCATGAGAACACATGGACACAGGGAGGGGAGCATCACACACTGTGGTCTTTTGGCGGTGGGTTGGGGGGCAGGTGGGCAAGGGAGGGACAGTAGGGGATAGGGAGGGAGGGAAGGATGGACGGGGAGGGATAACATGGGGAGAAATGCCAGATACAGTATGCACCTAAAGTAAAATAAATAAATTTAAAAATACATATATGGAAGGAAGAAGAATTAAAAAAACAAAGAATTAAATATTCCTTTAGAAAACTCAAAACCAGGTGAATTTTCTAGACGTAACTACCAGTTTACAGGCCCTCCAGGGGCTTGGTGCACACTCTCAGAGGCACCCTGACATAGAGACTCTCCAGGGCACACAGCCTGGTTTCCTTCTTCCACAAACAAGGGGGAAAAGGAAAAGTGGGAGGCACACCCTATGGACTAAAGATCCTTAGGAAACCTCTCAACCAAATGCTCATTCCCACAGCAGGATTTGAACAACCCAACTAGAAAAAGAAAGGCTACAGATAAATGTGAGCACTGGAAGGAAATATTGGATATTAAGGATAATACTGTTTCAGGTGTGCTAATGGTATTGCGATGGCTTTTTAAAAGTTTCTTACCTGTTAAAGATAACTATTGTAAAAGATATTTACAGATAAAATGAAAGATAAATCCAGCATTTGCTTTGAAATAACCCAGCAGATGAAACAAGAGCATCCACAAGCTGAAGACCGTTGGAGTGGGGGCCGGGTACAGTGGAAGGGAGTCACAGACCATTTGGTGGTCTACTTTTGTATCCATTTGAAAGTTTTTTGTTTTAAGACAGGGTCTCAATCTATCACCCATTCTGGAGTGCAGTGGCACAATCATGGCTCACTGCAGCCTTGACCTCC